AATTTATTAATTTTTATTATAGAAACTTGTTGATTTTCAGTTTTCACGATTTTAACCTGTTGACACTATTTTTTCAGGTTTCTGGAGCACAATTTGCAGCAGATGCGTTTAAAATTGGATGAGACTGTCACGGTCAATACTCAAAGTGGCAAGATAAAAGGTGCCAAAAGACGTACAATTTACAATGATGTCTACTGTAGCTTCGAAAAAATTCCCTATGCCCAACCACCAGTGGGTGAATTAAGATTCCGTGCACCGAAACCAGTTGTGGCGTGGAAACATGTACGTGATTGTACGCACTTTGGAGAGTCACCATTTCAGCATTCGGTGATTGACAGAAGTGTTGTGGGTGCGGAGGATTGTCTATTTTTGAATGTCTACACAAATAATGTAAGTTATTTTTACTGGTTTCACGTAAGTAAGAATTGCAATCAATGCCACAAAAAACTTGTACAGCATGTAAAGCACGATTGTCACGTCTTTCTACTATGGATAGACAAAATAAATTTTTTTATAATTTATGTAAAATAAAATACAACATATCAATTTTTTGCAATTCTATTTTTTATAGATTAAACCAAGTAAACCACGTCCAGTTATGGTTTGGATATACGGTGGAGGCTTTAGATTGGGTGAAGCCTCACGTGATTGGTATGCACCTGATTATTTTATGAAAAAAGATGTCGTGCTGGTAACGGTTCAATATCGTTTGGGTGCTTTAGGTAAGAGAGTTGTTCTTATAATGCAGATTAGATTAACTTTAGCTATAAAACTTTTGACGTTAATTGACATTTTCAAATTATTTACTGGCCAATTAATGCTCTCAATTATTTCCCTTCTTCATTGCTTCTTTTCTTCTTTTTTTTCTCTTCCTTCCTTCTTTTTTCCTCCTTTCCCTCCTTTCTTTTATTTATACTTTCCTTTCTTCTTCTTCCTTCCTCCTTTCTTTTCTCCTTTCTTCCGTCCTTTCTTAGTCTTTTAAAAAATATTTGGATTTTTTGGTGATTAGATTAGATTTGTTTGTAAGGCTTTTGATTTTCAAAATCAACATATTTAGTCCATTTACTGACTCCTTTACGGTTAGAATTCCTTCGCTTCTTCATTCCTTTTTTTTTCTTTCTTTGGGCTTTCATTCATTCTTTTCCTTCCCATTTCTCCTTCTTTTTTCTTTTCTTCATTCTATTTGCCCTTTCTAGCGTCTTTCTTCATTCTTTCCTTCCTTTAAATCTTTCTTTCTTGTTTCCTTGCTTTTCCCTAATTACTTCCTTTCATTCCTCCTTTCTTCCCTCCTTCTTCCTTCCCTACTTCCTTCCCTACTTTTTTCTCTCACTACTTCCCAAATATCTTAAATATTGTCTGCATATTTATATGTTAACAATTCCTTACTTCACAGGTTTTTTGAGCTTAACAGATCCAAACTTACACATACCTGGCAATGCTGGTTTGAAGGATCAAATTTTGGCACTGAAATGGATTAAACGAAATTGTTCTAGCTTTGGTGGCAATCCTGACTGCATAACAATATTTGGTGAAAGCGCTGGTGGCTGCTCAGTCGCTTTACTTATGTTAACCGAACAAACACGAGGTCTCTTCCATCGTGCCATAGCTCAATCTGGTGTCGCAACAGTTAGTTGGGGTATTGGAAATACGGGCAAGCGTGCATTTGCCTTAGCCAAAGCTGCGGGCTACACTGGAGATTTTAATGAGCCAAAAATTTTAAAATATTTGTTACAGTGTACCGCTGAAGAAATAACAAATGCACAACAGTACTGCCTAACTCCAGAAGATATGAATAGCATGGAAATGTTAGCATTCGGTCCATGCGCGGAGCCATATATGACGCAGCATACAGTGCTTCTAAAGCCAACTGAAGAGTTATTCGCACAAACTTGGTCCAATTCCGTGCCACTTTTGCTTGGTTCCACTTCAAGTGAAGGACTCTTATTTAAGCCAAGTACGCAAAACCCTTTAAAGTGCGACCATACACGTAATAACAAATTTTATTTTACTCGATTTCAGTTTTAACAGGCATGCCAGAATTCGTAGAGCAAATATTGAAGAATTTCACATCTTTGCTCCCGCCAGGTACGTTCACACAACGTGATAGCCCTGAAGCGTTGGAAAAAGCCTCGAAATTGCGCGCCGCATACATCGAAGGCAACACCGCAAGCCTGGAGGTGTTTTACGATGTAAGTTAAACGTTAGGCACTGCGCTTAAAGTCAAACAGTCAGTTTAATATCAAGTGTGAATTTTTTATTATCACAGGTGATGGGTCACTTGTACTTTTGGCATCCGTTGCAAAAGACTATCAATTTGCGCCTACAACATGCGAAAAAAGCGCCTACTTATTTGTATCGCTATGATTTCGACTCGGAAAAACTCATTTATCCGTTTCGCTATATGTGGCAAGGACGTGGTGTGCGTGGAGTGGCACATGCAGATGAGTTGGCCTATCTCTTTCACAGTGTGCTCGGCAGGCCAATGGAACGTAACAGTCGCGAGTATCGCAACATTGAACGCATGATTGGCTTGTGGACAACTTTTGCCGAGACGGGAAATCCAAATACCGGAAAAATTAATGGAATGAAAGGCATTAAATGGCGTCCACTACGCAGCGGCGATAAAGCGCTGAAATGCTTGAATATTAGCGATGAATTGAAATTTATAGATTTGCCTGAAATGCCCAAGTTGAAAGTCTGGCAGGAATTATATTCCACGCATCGCGAAATACCGGAAAAAACCGCAGAAATTGTTGACTTCACAATCTATGCCAAATCAAATCTGTAATGTAATGAAGATAAAGAAGATAAGCAATTGCGCCGGAAATGAGCCGGAAATATTCAGAATTATTTGAACATTTTTATGAGGCGTTTGAAGTGCAGTCTATTATTTTATCACGACTGGGTTGTTATTCTTATAATATTTATACATTAACTGGTGATTTGTATTATTTTATATATATTTGTAGAATAGTAAAAAAATTAATTTTAATTAAAATATAGTGATTAATTAAACATTGGAAGTTATTTTAATTATTTTTAAAAGATTTTGTATCCAACAATGGCTCGCCATTGACTGCCCTTTTGAATGAAGTCTAAAAGTGATGACTGAGAGTGAATGCAGATAAACAACTTCTGACAATATATTAGACTAACGAACAGAATTTTTCAAAGAGCAGAGTTTTAAGCCTTTTGTTAGACTATTTAACAGATATTTATATACATATATAATACTAAAAAATTTATATAATTTAATTATGATTGAAACAATCAATCAGATATAAAGCTTCTTTAAAATGGCGAAAAAAATGGATAAAAAAGAAAATGATTCAGTAATGATGGGGAGGCAAGTTTTCAGGGAATGAGTGTGAATTGGAGATGGTTGGAGCCTAAATTAAACCAGGATAAAGACGAGATACTTGGCCACTTCAATGAGGTAGCAGATTGGACAGCGGTTTGTGTGTGCGATTTGGCAGGAGAACAGATAAACGACGTTGTGGGGGGTTAAGCTGCAGTTTGAGCACTTAATTGAGACTGTTTACCACATGATTATAATCTGGTCTTAATTGAGATTGAACAGTTCATGCTATACGGAAAAGTCGTCGTTCTCTCTAGAAAATGTTGTGCGGAGGCTTTTTGAGAACCTTGTAACATGACAGCGGTGGTGTCGAAGAGAATACTGCTTCTGTGTAGAGGGCTATAAGTTCGCGTTTATATTCGACCTCATTGATGTTAGCTTTTTGTAAAAGGTGTCAGAGGTATTTAGATTAATATCTGTCTTTACAGGGGCATAGCACGGCATGGAGCTAGGATTGGCCTACCATGTGGTATCTCCTGCAATGCTACCTGAACAGATAACAGCGCTGTTTGTGTTATGAGACTTAATTATTGTTCGATATTTTATTTGTTATATACACTTTTTGTTTTGTCATTTATTTGAGTTAAAGCAGTTAAAAAGACCATTTCGAATAAAAACATCGTATTTGAGTACCATTTTTTAGTAGAAGTCTCGCAATATTTTTATTTCACTCGCATTTGTGTTTCGAATTCTTAGATAATGTTTTATTTAAAATATTTTTTCGCTAGCTCTTATGTCGCGAAGTTTTGGAAAATGTTTTAGTTATGCTATACGGTTTAGTATTTGATTGCGTGTGTGTGTTTTTTTTTTGTACTAATCGCACTTACATACTCGTGACTGTTATCTTTTTAAGCAGTCCCAGTTGTGGAGAGAACAATGAAAGTGCCACTCATTAGCTTTCTTTCTTTCCTGACGATGCCTTGCTATTCTAGGGGCCCCTTTCTTTCAATATATTGTTCAACTACAAGGCTCTCAATTAAATAGCCCTTTAAACTTTGTCAAAGTTTGAAGGTAGTTTTAAATCTTTGAGTTTTTCTCATATACTATAACACAATAAGCTAAAGTGGATTCCTTTTGATCGCCAGTACAATCTTACGTACCCAATCTAAGTAGTTTAATCAATCAATTTTTTTGAGAATTTATCTTAAGTTATAGTATTCTGTCTAAAACTGTTTATTTCACATTTCACTGTTTTAAATGACGGAGCTGTTAGCTTATGCTTAACCTTTACGTACAGATCATGGTTCTTAAATTATAAAGGAAATACTTTCTTATTTCGTAAGTCATGGCTTCATAGGCTTTTGCTGCTTAGTCTAAGCCATATGCAAAAAAGGGGTTCAGATATTTTAGTTTCCATTTAACAGAACAAACTCTAATAGGTCAATATTGTTTAATGGCACTTCAATCTACACAATCCTTTATATAAATTTTGCGAGAATTTTAATTTCATCTCTAATAGATAGGTTGCGAACACTAGTGAATTGTAACAACAAAATTTTATTTATTTTTATTAATTAAATTTTTGGCTAATCATACAACTGTTTTTGACAAATACCCATTACGAATTTGCTTGGAAACATTTATTATACATAATTATATTTTTTTGAGACTGCAAGTACCAATGATTAAACTCATACTCTGCCAAATTTAAAGCTCAGAGTAAATAAATTTTATTTCTACTTAGTACGTTCAGGATCGATATCATAATCCCTTCATAAATCTCAAAATTGGATGAAGTATGAATTAAGTCAGCAAAATTGGAAACTTAAGTATGATTTCAGTTAGTATTGAGATCTGATCTACTACTGTGAAATTGGCTATGAGTATCTTTAAGAACACCTTCTTTCAGATATACCTATTCATATTGTAAATGATGACTTTATTGACCATAAAATAGTTACATTATAATTAAAATGAAATACTTTACAACGTAATTATAATTAAAAAATTTTCGCATATGTGTTTATTGTTTCATCCATTCATATCAGTGTTGTTAATCATTGATTTTGCAATATTATTTCATTATTAACCAGTTGTGGATTTTATTAAGCAATCAAAATTTTATTAAGATTTTTAATACAAATTGAAATATCCAACATTTACAGATTAAAATCAAGATATAATTAATTACAGTCCATCTACAATTTGCAATTACTGGTAATACCAAAACAAGTGCAAAATTAATATCACAAAAATATATATATTATATATAGCAAATTGCTATAAATAAATACTTCCCAGCGATGAAGGCACTTACGGCTTCATCAGCGCCTTACCCGCGTTGCATTTTTAATTTTTATATTGTAATTAAACAGCGGACAGACAAAATATGGCTGCATTGTAGTTATCGCGATTGGAATCGGCGTCTATATATATTAAACTATATTGACTGCTAGTAGTGAAGTTAATTGAGAATGAAATTGCGTAAAACAATTAATGTCAGTCGATTACATATTTTTGCTTCAACATTTGGAAAAAATTGCTATGCGAAAAAATATGTTCCGTGCGAAATTTGTTTCATTTTTGAAATTTTGTTTACATTTTCAATTATGCAAACTGCACTTGCCTTGCCATTAATTCATTAAAATCCGCTGATTTATGCCAGCTCTCCACTAATATCAGGTTTAGTTTTTGCATGCACTCCGCGATTATTTGCCGTATGCAATCGCGCCAATCCCGTCAATCCCGCCAATAGCACCAATCCCGCCAATCGCGCCACAATCGCCAACCGTTAGTAAAACGCTAAGTAACATTTTTTTAATTGAGTTATTTAAATATCCATTTTTTACTGCATTAAATATAAAAACTATTAAAAACATAAAATAAAATATAGTACAAATAAAACACAATTAATTGACTGTAGATACATTTTTTATAAATTTATTTTTTTCTAGATAACGACAAATGTAAATACGTAATGACGCGTAAGTGGATTAATGGAATGTTAGTCGAGGAATATTTATTTAGTGTAAAAACTGCTTTGATATCAATTTCAACAAATTACACGGAAATGATGGGTTAAACTAAAATAATTAACAAAAAATTCAATTTTTTTGTGTTTAGAAAATGTAGTTGGGGATGTTGATTTTTGAAGAGGTGATATCGGAGTTATAACTATTAATTTTTAATAATTAAAAGTTAAAACCACTTAAAATAACAATGAACCACAATTTTCAGTTTAATATTTTACCCACTTATATGGAAGGTATTAATATTCCAACTTGCTATTCAACAAGGTTTAATGGAAGTTTTTTCTAATGAACTTCAAAGCTTCAATTTTCAATTAAGAAATATAAATTCTTTATCAAATAAAAATAACGACCTTCTAAGTAGGTATATAGGTAAGAGCAGCCTCGCTAAGACCACGCATACTTACTTATTTACTTAGTTGGCCATTATAGACGTGAATCGTCCCTGATCGCGTCGAGTATCCTCCGCAAGCCAAGCCGTACAGTGACTTGCTGTCGCCAGTTGGTAATACCGAGCGCTCCAAAATCAATGGTCCCCTGACACTTCCGTCAAAGATGTGGACATCCTCTTCTACGTTTTCACCTACGGATACCGAATTAAACCATTTTCTAAACGTAGCACTTCTTCCATTCGCACGAAATGACTAAATCAACAAAACCGCTGCATTTTTAGGCACTTAACTATATCAATGTCGCGATATTGCTCATACAGCTCATCGTTCCATCTAATGTAATACTCATTGCCAACGCGTAAGGAACCATAGATCCTCCGAAGAATATTTCTTTCGAATGCTCCTAATGCGTTGTCATTACTGTTGGTAATTGTCCAAGCTTCTGCACCAAACAGCGGATCGGGCATGGTAAAAGACTTGTTAAGCATGATTTTTGTTTTTCAAGAACCTGAAATACCATATGTTAACAAGAGTGATTCTTTGTTGAGTCTCTAGGCTGACGTCATTATTGGTGTTTACGCTAGTTCCTAAATACACAAAGTCTTTCACAACTTTGAACTTATAATTGTCAACAGTGATGTGGGTCCCAAGACACTCATGAAATTTGTTTGTTGACAGAAAGTTTTTTGTTTTGTCCTCATTTACAACAAGACCTAAATAAGTTTTAAATAAGCTAGGATGATATAAAGACAGAAAGAAAATAATAGAGAAGACAAGACAAAATTTATTTAACATATAATTCGATGCATTTTCTACATTCATAACTTTTGACAATATTTATCCCTTGAGTCTATGCTGTAATTTAACAGTACCAGGTTAAAAAACCAATTTGCATTCTACAGTTATTTTAATGGAACAGTATAATACATATTTTTTTTTAAATATTTTATTTTTTTCGCACTGCAGACTTATCTGGTGAAAGACAAAGAACCGCCCTAAAAACTAGAAAAATGTATTACCTACTTTATTCAAATTCACAATTAAATTTGAAGCAGATGGTTTGTGGTTTGAAGTTGTATTCACACTAGTCTATACATTTGTCATACAACTTAGGATCACTGCAAATTTATAAAATAAATAAATAATACAAGGGTACCAATAAAAAGTGCTTAGAAATGTAGTCTAACACCGCTATACATCAAGTTACTTCATATATTAGGGCCTATAATTTAATTTGGAAATAAAAT